ATATATATATATATATATATATATATATATATTAGGGGCACACTTTTATTCCCATGCAAAGGGTGTTTAAATGATGCTCTGCTTTGAAGTTCCTTCTTTTGTATTTTTACTTCTTATTTTGGGCGTTATCGCCACCTATTGACTTGGCATTGGAATTGCAGCATTTATACATTTTTAAAGTAGTAAAAGTATTTGCTTAAAGTATATCTGGAGTAATGTAGTCAAAGTAACAAAATAAAAGCAAATATTGTGGAGATACAGTACATTGTAATGAAATAAATATTAGGTTTCCAGTTTTGTAGGGGAAAAGCTGTCGTTACAACTTAAATTGTCCGAAACTATTAAAAATAGTTTATTTGTGATTATAGTGATGATAATGAACTTGAAGTGTTTTAATAAATCTACTTAAAAATAAGATTTACTGGAAAAAGAAAATATTGGTAAACCTGTAAGACTTTGCAGCATGTCCCCAAATTTTTAGCCAGCATTTGCTTTTTTTTATACAAGTTTAAACCTTACTGTGAATCAGCCATTTTTCATGAACCAGTAACAACAACCACTGCTTTCTAAGGAAAACTGAAAATTCTCAATAATCTCAAGTATTTATCACTTTTATACCTTACCTTTAATTTCTTTGAAATTAAAACCTGCATCTCTTCTTTTTCTGGCTCTAAAATACATTTAAGGGCTACTTTTTTTTATTAAAACGCGAAAGTGTGTCACTAATATTATAATAGCACATATATAAGTGGACACATCAATGATGTAGTCGACCCAGATGAGGGTTTTTGGGTCAGTGGGTTATTACCCAGCTGACCGAGCAGGATGAAGATGGATATTTTTATCTCATGGCCAGATTATGAAACCTATCGTTGTGTTTCTTACTTAAACAAAAGTATTTTTAGCAGCAGCTTGGATTAATTGCTTTTCTCCACTTTCATTTTGTTCAGGTGAACTGGGGAAACTGTGTGAAGCTTTACGCAAACTGAACTAATGGCTGACCCGGTTGGATCTGCTGACCCTCCTCTCTTCAGAACAATGATTGTTCGGTTACTGGGCTTCCTGCGGTTCAGCTTAGCTTGCTCCAAAATTAGCCATCTTCATATTAAAACAAATATTATGACTATATTACTGCAATCCAGGCAGTGGAAACCTTGTAGGAAACTGTGTTTTAGTCAATAAACTACCTTGTAATGTAGAAATAGTGACACCTGTATTACTGTTAGTATTATATGTGCACTAATGTTACTGAATTTTTTTGTTCTTTTATCACTTGTTTAGTGAATTTAAAGGTCAAAGTGAACATTTATCCATAAAAGTGGTTTTTCTTTTTATGCAATTTCTCATAGATTTTTATTGTAAGCTTTAAAACTCCTGATAAATATGTTTATGCATGACATATATTAAAAAAACAATGATATTTTGTTTCTGTATCTCATTCATTTGTGAAGATTTCTATACATTAACGTGTTTTCTCTGCACACCAGCTTTAACATCATTCTGTTATTTGTCATTAAATGCTAAAATTCTTAAAATACTGTTATTGAAACTCAAAAATGGAACAGTGTTTGTTTTTTTTTTTTTTGGGGGGGGGGGGGGGGTTGCACTCTAGCTTAAAACATGACAAGCTACTGAAAAACTCATTTTCATTTCAAAACTAAATTTTAGTGCAACTTTTTGTTTGAAACTACTTTTTCTATACGATTCATGTTGTTTTCTTCTTATCCTCAGTTAAACCTTCATCATATTTTAGCTGAATGTTTTGTCTTAGGTCTATCCAACAGGCGGTCCTTGGGCTAGCTATGGCCCTTTTTTAATAAATATTCAGCCCTCTCAATGCTGCCCAAAACACAAACTGATTTGTATTATAAGGATTCTCAGACTATGCAACACATATCAAAGCTTTTTCTATAGCTTGTTAAAGTCTGCATCTGTCAAAAGACAATATTTGGTAAAACTTGACACTAGAAAGAGTTAAGAAGGGTAAACCCAACACCTATAAGCAGTTGACTGACCATCGGCTACTTTTGTACAAAACAAGACTGCTATCATTGCATCCCAGCAAGTACTGTGTATTAAACACTAACCAAACAAAAGCAACTTTTTGTTTCAGAGGTTGAATTTCTGGATAGAGTTTGCATGTTCTCTCCGTGCATGCGTGGGTTTTCTCCGGGTACTCCAGTTTCCTCCCACAAACCAAAAACATGCATGTTAGGCTGATTGGTAACTCTAAATTGTCTCTAGGTGTGAGTGAGAGAATGAATGGTTGTTTGTTTTGTTTGTCGCTCTGTGTCCCTGTGACCTGTCCAGGATGTCCCCCGCCTCTCACACACTGACTGCTGGATATGGACACCATTAGGCCTGTCACGATAACAAATTTTGCTGGGTGCTTGTCTCAGAAATTATTGTGATAAACGATAATATTGTTTGACATTTGAAAATACTTAGTAATTATTGTTAAATTTATGAAGAAATGTTGGTTAATTTATTTTGCAGGTAGTACCTTTTTTCGACCACTGGATGGCAGTATACGACTGTTTGAACCGAAGGATGGATAGTAAGGGTGCGAGCAGCGTCTCTTTGAGAAAAATGGAAGGGAGGCCCGTTGACGTGACATGGGCTGTTTCTCTTTGGTTCTCAAAATGGCAGACGCTCAGTGTAGTTTTAGCTCTTTAGCATAGCATTTTTCACACAAAGCTTTTAATAATAATACATTTAAAAAAATCAGTAAACAAGTTCTCAACTTATTTTTGCAGAGACAAACAACTTTTTACACGAAGGCACGGGTTTGAACTGTGAATTTTGGAGCTTCGACAAGACGGAGGATTTTTCCCCGAGGTCGGCCTGTTAGCTTAGCTCGTAGCTTAGCTTCTCAGCTTAGCTGCTTTTAACAACCCCAAAATGTGATTTTGAATGATTAAATTAATTTTAAAAAGAAAAGAGAAAGGGAGGTTCAGTGAAAACACCAGAGTTGAGCCTTTTATCATCCAGTGTCAGTAGAAAGAGACACGAAGAAACGATAAAGCTGAAACATGAAAATGAGGTCAATAATTTTTATTTATTATGCGATTAATTGATTTATTGTTTATCGCGACAGGCCTAGACACCAGTGAAACCCACAGCCCAGAAAGGAAGAAGTGGGTAAAGATAATGGATAATTGGATGGAATCTGTAATGGCTGCATGGTTGCTGTACTTGATGAAATAGTTTATTAAAAAGTGGCCCTCAAAACCCCAGAATGTTTATTTTTGGCCTACTAGAAATTAAAGTAGCATGTCCTTCACGCATCTTGTCTTATTTTTGTTTTAATGGGCATCTTTTTTTTTTTTTTTTTTTTTTAATAGAATAGAAAGAAAGAAAAGACAAAGTAAGACTCCAAAATATAAGAAATATACACAAAGAGAGCACACGTCAAAACACCCGGCCACTGTCTGTTCACCTGCAAAGAACATGACAAAACACAGCAACAAAATACATATGTATAAAGAACTTAAAATATTCATGGCTTTGCAGTAAGTTTCCATAAATATATATACCCATACCTACTCCTATATACATACATACATACACATGAATATACACTCACATACATATCTATATATCTACATATAAAGCCTACATAAACATCCCTGCTTCTATTTGTGTGTGGTTGTGAGCATGCATAAGTGTATAAGGCTTCTCTAATAGAACATTTATTAGTAACTGTGAAGCAGCAGAGACCCGACCCCCAAGACCAGAGGCAGACGAAAAAAGGGGGGACCAGAGCCCAAGACCCCAGGAGGGACCCCGACCGCGGAGCCCCCAGAGCCACCCACACAGGACGAACCACTCACCCACCCCCCAGAACGGACCACAGGGGAGAACCGGAAGATCCCCACCAGCAACCACATACAGTGACCCCCGGGGCCAACAGCGACAAACTCATAGGCCTCCGTCGGCACCCGCCGCACCGATGTAGGTCCAGGTCCAGGCACCGAGGCCCGGGCACCGAGGACTCACACCACCCAGGCCAAGGCCCGACAGGGCCAGAGGACCCGAGCCCCACCAGGCAGACACCAGGCCGAGCCGACACACGCCCAAGCGCCCAGCCCCCGATACCAAGGGCCCCAAGCACGCCGGCAGGCAAGGGCACACCCCACCAGGGGGCCGCGCGATAGGGGCGCGATGCCAAGCACCCCCAGTTGTATCAAAGAGGGGGCAGTCTGAGTCTCGGCCTAACAAATACCCATTCATACACATACACAATCACACTATCCCAACCTCAATCTCACATTCACTCACTCAAAGACATACAATAACGATACATTTCATTCTTATTCCCGATACGCACTCTATACCCCCCAGGTCCAAGACATGTACCCGCCCTCTACAGGGGGCAGCCCATGCCCAAACCCAGGAGGTAAACCCATTCATTTGTTTTAATGGGCATCTTAAATCATTTGAGATGGTCATTATGTGAACTGAGAAGTTTAAGAAGTCTCATTCAAATAATCCATCCAGATGTTTTAGTTTTGATCAATACAGTGACATCATATCCTGATGTTGAAAGTGTATTGTTAAAATAGACAACATCATGTCAGTTTTCTTTTGCTTCACTCAGAATGCTGCTGTTCTGTAATAGATCTTAAACAGAAAACAAACTAGTATATTGAAGTCCGACTAGTCATTAGCTTGTCAATCTGGTCAGAATTAAACTTTTATTTCCACAAACTGAGATCATGCCAGAGACATCTGCAGCAGGTAAGATATTAATGCTCATAACCATTCTACAGAACCCCACTTCAAAAGACCTGAACACAGCCCTAAATAAAACATGGAAATAAAACCGTGACGCATAAAAGGTCCCCAAAAAGCCAAAGTCACTGCTGCACCTGCGCAGCTCCTCTCCATTCAGCCACGGCTGAAAAGACAGACTATTTAAACCCCCTCAGGAGAGGGGGTGTAGGCACACAACCTGACCGAGCAGCAGAGACATGAAGACATTCAGCTGCAGGAAGCAGAGTCTGATCGAGGATGCTCGCAGGGAGCGCAGCAGCAGCTCCGTGGGCTCCCCGGGGCCCTCCAGGTTCGGGGACGGCGTTGTGTTCGAGGACAAGGATGGCAGGGTCACGATAAACGTCCTGTTCACGCTCAGCAATGAGAAGAACACGGGATTCTTTCAAGCGGGGAAAATATTTGAGGTAAGGAGTCAAAAATAGAACCATAAACTCAGGAAAACGAGTTTTACACCTTTATACGTTTATTTATTTTATATTGGTATGTGTGACTAACATTCTGGTGAAATGGAGCTCCTTTTTGTTCATTTCTGTTCAAAACGTTTGACTTTTATTTGAAATATATGAACATTTTATTTTGTAAATGTATGCCTATTCTTATCTCCAACATAAAAAGTGCGTTTTTATAAAACCAAATCAAATCCAGTTACCTCAGAGGGCTACAGATTTAATTTAAATTTAAATATAATCTGGTTAAATTAAAGCGAGTCACTTAAAAAAGCCTGTTTATATTTATCCAAACATACTGCATAAAACTAACATCTATAAGGCTCTAACAAAATATATATATTTTCATTAACATTTAAAAAAAAAAAAAAACTTTGAGTAAAAACAGGCCCAATTTAGCAAATTATCCATGTTTTTTTATTTTTTAAGACAATTTTAAGGGAAAGAAAAATCCTTATATAGTCATTTTTTATTATATATAATTAATGAATTAAATTGGAGTAAAATATTTTTTGTTTTAAAGCCTTTTGTGTTCAAATGTGGATAAATTTGGATTTATAATAAATCTTTAAATTCAGTCATTCTTAACTGCAGGGGCTTTAAGATCTCTGTTCAAAACAGGAAATCAAAGAAAAGAACTCAATTTTTTTCCATTTTTAGGCACAAATGGAAGCAGAAGGCCGAATATACTGAGCAGAAACTTTTCTTTCTTTAGACGTTTGAAGCCAAACTCTTTCACATCGAGAGCCGGATGAGGAAGAAGTCAAAGACGGACCTGCCTGACCTGGACTTCTTCATGACGTGTGAAGTCCATCGCTCTGACCTGGACGTGTTCATCAACTCGCTGAAGAGGGTGGTGGGGGATGTTCGCTCTGTGCCGGAGGAGAAAGGCAAGAGGCTGATTTAATGGTCCTGTTTGAATCATCTGAACTGTCTGAATGTTCAAAAAGCTCTAACTGACCTCCGTCTACATCACAGTTCCCTGGTTTCCTCGACGGATAAAAGATCTGGACCGATGTAATTTGTTAATAACCAAATTTGATCCGGATCTGGACCATGATCATCCAGTGAGTGCCAAGAAATATTGGAAAACAAACAAAAACAATCTTTTTTTTTTAAATTAACTTCTTTTTTTCAGGGATACAATGATTCAGAGTACAGAAAAAGACGAGCTGCCATCTCCGAGCTTGCCTTCGGATACAAACAGTGAGTTCTGCATCAGACGGATGTGATTCTGGTTTCCAAACGTGCTCCTAACCTGACTGTTGTGCCTACAGAGGCGACCCGCTGCCGTCTGTCGAGTACACAGCAGAGGAAATCTCTACATGGTGAGGGCGGCACTCGTTCAGACGCTGCTGGGGTTAAAACAAGAGAGGTGCTGATGTTTTGGTGCGGTTGTGTTTACAGGAGGCAGGTTTATCAGCAGCTGAGGAGTGTGTATCCCACCCTGGCCTGCAGGCAGTTCCTGGACGGCCTGCAGCAGCTGGAGGAGGAGTGTGGATACGGAGAGGACCAAATCCCTCAGCTCAGAGACGTCTCCGCCTTCCTGAAAGGTGACAAAACCCTTGAGGTTGATGCTGTTCTGGCAGCTGCAAAACTAAGAGATTTGAGATTGACGTTGGCAACAAAATCAATAATTATTTCATTTAAACAAACAAAAAGTGGAATTAAGAAAAGCTTTTGACGAATAAATACTGTACTAAGATTTGTAACTTACCCATCAATACAACACTTTGGAACATGGAAGTGAAGTAGCTTGAAGAGTATAAAAATGACACATTTTTTTCCACTGTAAAATGAATTATAAGGAATGTAGGAGGCTTAACAGAAAATATATACAGCATTTCAAGGCTTTCTTTTACATGTAAAAATGTATAATTTAAGGGGGTTTCTTTCTTGGGGAACTATCTGATATTCAAAAAAGCAAAAACAAAAAAACACAATTACAAATGTATTTTGAGTACGTACGGGTATATTGTCTTCAGATGACTAAATAAGCGAAATATATTTCAAGGATTTGTTAAAACAGGTTGAGGAATACTATATATAAATACTATATATATATATATATATATATATATATATATATATATATATATA